GTGGGGCAACCCGGGACCCCCCCCCCCCCCCCCCCCCCCCCGCCGGGGCCTGGGGCCCTGCGCTCGGTTTGTACGTTCCCATTCTTTTATTATTATTGCTGTTATTGTCACTTTGCTATTGTTATTAGTACTGTTGTTGTTATTATTATTATTATTATTATTATTATTTTCTTCCTTTCTGTCCTATTAAACTGCCTTTATCTCAATCCACGAGTTTTTGACTTTTTTTCCCCCATTCACAGCTTCAGAGCACCAGGCGAGTCCAGTCAGGCAAGACTGGCTTAGTCGTCAGTTCTGAGTTAAGGACGACTCGTTCGAGGAGCTCTCCCCATACATCTCTCCAGCCCCCTGACCGTCTTGGTTGGCGTCCACTGAACTGACCGCAGTATGTCAATATCCTTCCTGTACCAACAGCCCCCAAACTGAATGCAGTGCTGCAGCCATGGTCTTACAAGTGCCAAAGAGAGGGGAAGGATCACTCCTGGGACTTGCTGGCTGCTCTCTATTACCAATACAGCCCAGGATGCAGTTGGCTGCCCCTGCTGCAAGGGCGCAGTGGTGGCTCATATTCAGCTTGTCCAGCAGGATCTCCGGCTCCTTTTCGGCAGAGCTGCTTCCCAGCCATCCATCCTCCAGCCTGTGTTCTTGCACAGGCTTATGCTGTGCCAGATGCAGGACTCTGCACTCACTCTTCTTGTACTCCATGAGATTTTTGTCAGCTTCTTTCTCCTGCCTGGCAAGTCCCTCTGACTGACAGCCCTGCCTGCCACCGTGGTGACTGCTTCCCCCCACACACAATGTGGCCCCATCCACAAACTTGGTGAGAGGAAGAGGTTTGTCTTTCTTTGCCGTGATGCTACTCCACATGCTGTCATGGGCTGGTCCGTGTTGTGCCCGCTGCATCGTGGAACCACAGGATGGTTTGTGTTGGAAGGGACCTTAAAGATGACCTAGTTCCAACCCCCTGCCATGGGCAGGGACACCTTCCACTACATCAGGTTGCTCCAAGCCCCATCCAGCCTGGCCTTGAACACTGCCAGGGATGGGGCAGCCACAGCCTCTCTGGGCAACCTGTTCCAGTGTCTCACCACCTTCACAGGGAAGAACTTCTTCCTTACATCTAATCTAAATCTACCCTCTTTCAGTTTATCACCATTGCCCCTTGTCCTGTCACTCACTACAGGCCTTGGTAAAAGGTCTTTCTCCATCTTCCTTACAAACCCGCTTTATATATTCAGCAGCTGCTGTTTGATCTCCCCAGAGCCTTCTCTTCTCCAGCATGAACAACCCCAACTCCCTCGGCCTGTCCTCGCAGGGGAGGTGTTCATGTCCCTCCTCTGGACCGGCTCCAACAGCTCCGTGTCTGTCCTGGGCTGGGGTCCCCAGAGCCGGACGCAGTGCTCTTCATCCCCCAGGAGAGCGGAGCTGAGAGGGACACTCGCGTCCCTCGCCCCTCTGGGCCGCGCCGCGTTCCCAACCGCCCGGGGCAGGGCTGTGGAGAGCTAACGCCCCTTGGCGACGCCGCCATGTTCTAGAGAACGAGGGAGGGGGGAGGTCGGAGCCGTTAGGCTCGCGCTCAGCCGTTGCCCGGGCGGGAGGGCGGCCGGCTCGCGCGGGGCCCTGAGGGAGAGTTGTCCCGCTCGGCGACCCCGGTTAACGGGCCGGCCGTTGGGCGGCGGAGGGAGGCGGCGGGGCCGGGGTAAGGCGGGGGACGCGTTGTTCCCTCCCTGGGAGGGGAGCGGAGCCGGGCGGGCCCCTCCGCCTCCTCGCCTCAGGGGTGCCCCCGCGGCGGGCGGGAAGGGAGCAGCCGGTGAGGCGGAGGTGCTCGGCCGCGGGGCTTTCTTCAGCCGGAGGATGGAAAGTGAGGGGGAGCGTTGTTCTTCTGGAGAAAGCTGCGATCCTGAGGTTGTCTGCGAAAAACACTTGTTTAAATCCGGACCGTCGGAGTCCCTTGTTCAGCTGGCGTGTAGTCACCATCACTGTGCTTTCCCTTTGCATCAGAATGAGTTGTGCATCTGGAATACAGCGACTGCTCAGGTAAAACCACAATACATCCCTTCACAGGCTGCTGTTTTAGCAGAAGACTTGAAAGGAAGACAAAAACAATCATATCTGAGGGTCGTGTAGGAGTGTCAGGTTTCATTTTAATGCTGGGACGATACTAGCATTTGTTACGAGCTTTGTTACTGTGATGAGAATAATATAAACTCCTGTGGTGGGTTGAACCTGGCTGGCAGATGTTTCACCACCCAGTCTCCTGCTCACTCCTTCCCAGCGGGGTGGGGGCGAGAATCAGACAGGCAAAAGTGAGAAGAAGTCACAGGTCGAGATAAAGATAGTTTAACAAGTGAAGGAAAGAGAGAAAAAGAAGAGATACGAAAGCAATCATTCACCACCTCCTACAAGCAGACCAATCCCCATACAGGCTTCGAGCAACAGCCACCTTAGAAGACACTCCCCCAAATCCCCAGCAGCTTCTTCATCCAATACCCCAGTTTTATTGCTGAGCACAAGATCATATGGTCTGGAATATCCCTTTGCCAGTTGGGGTCAGCTGTCCGGGCTGTGACCCCTCCCAGTCTCTTGTGCACCCCCAGCCTATTTGCTGGGGCTAGGGGGGGCCGAAACAGAGTGGGGAAAAGAGAAAACCTTGATGCTCTGCATGCAGTGTTTGGCAACAGCCAAAACCCTGGTGTGTTATCAACACTGTTTTCCTCAGAAAATCCAAAGCGCTGCACCGTGCAAGCTGCTATGAAGAATTTTGAAACAATAAAGAATAATTAATTACTGTTTTGTTAATTGCATGTACATTATCCATTTGTAATTTTGTATTGTTCATAATCTTAGTCTGAAGTGACTCATTTAACTCTTCTTTATCTACATTTGTCAGCCATTACGTTTGTCAGGACACCTTTACTCAATTTCTGCGGTGTCATTTGGAAGTAAAATCAAGCCACTTCTTGTCTGCTCTGCTTCTCGTGAACGTGTGATAGTGTGGAATCTTGATGAATGCACACAGAAGGTGCAAGAAGGTAAGAGTATTATTTATGTAACATATACATATTACATATATAAAAAAGGAGTGATGTAGAGGCAATCACTCGCCACCTCCTAGAAGCAGACCAATGCCCAGCCAGTCTCTGAACAATGGCCGCCTTAGAAGACAAATCCCCCAGCACCTCCTTTTCTTCCACTATGACTTCTATAAAAAGATTGTTATTTCTGTGTAGCATGCATTAGCCACTCAGAATCAGCAGCTCTAACAGTGATAAATAGTGCTTCATTTCTCTGTTGCTCTTCTTCGGCAATGCCAAGCTGAATCAGGCCAGTAGTTCAGCCAGTCTGGCTGTTGTCCCAAAAGTCAGGGTTCTTCTACCCGGTGTGTAAAGAGCTGAATTACACACAGGATCGAGGTATTTCTTTATTGCAGATTTGCGCAAAGCTAGGTGGTATTCCACACAAAACTAGCTCACCCTACAATTAAACAATTGATACAATTCAGGTTTACATATGCCATTTCTAAGTTCCCCCTTACAACTGTCATTGGCAGTCATTTTATAATTATTCATTGAAGACCTGCTCTTGTTGGCTTGAAGTTTCCTTGGCTCGAATGAAAGTTATGGTGCTCTTGCATTTTACAGCTCATGCTCAAAGAGCATGGGAGGGGTTCATCCTTTAATTGAGTCGGTGGTCGTGATCTCCCCCTGCCGTCTTTACCTTTATCCTAGTTACTGTGAATTCTGCTGACTTCATGCTTGTGGCAGTCTTCCATTTTTGCAGCCTTCCTTGTTTCTTCGTTATCAGTCCCTGAAGTTCCTTGTTTGAGTTCCTCTGTGACCACCAAGGTTACAAGTGTTCCCCCTACTTAGCGAGGCATGGAAGCCTACGCACCAATGCAGTTATTTAAGCAAAACCAGTTAACCCTTTGATATTCTAAATTCCAAGTATCACGGCCGTCGCACTTCCTCAGCAGGCCCCGCATTAACAATCGCCGCGGTCCCCGGCGCCCACCCGGCCCCACGCACGCCCCAGGCGGGTGCAGCCCCCGCGGCGGGGGCTGGGCTGGGCCGG